GTCCTAGCCACGGCAATTAGACAAAACAAAGAAATACAAGGAATCCAGATTGGTAAAGAAGAAGTCGAGCTGTCACTACTTGCAGATGACATGATACTGTACATGAAAAACCCTAAAGACTCCACTCTAAAACTACTAGAACTAATATCAGAATTCAGCAAAGTTGCAGGATACAAAATTAATACACAGAAATCTGTGGCTTTCCTATACACCAACAATGAACTAATAGAAAGAGAAATCAGGAAAACAATTCCACTCACAATAGCATCAAAAAGAATAAAATACCTAGGAATAAACCTAACCAAGGAAGTGAAAAACCTATACCCCAAAAACTACAAGACACTCTTAAGAGAAATTAAAGAGGACACTAACAAATGGAAACTCATCCCATGTTCTTGGCTAGGAAGAATTAATATTGCCAAAATGGCCATCCTGCCTAAAGCAATCTACAGATTCAATGCAATCCTTATCAAATTATCAATAGCATTCTTCAACGAACTGGAACAAATAGTTCAAAACTTCATATGGAACCACCAAAGACCCCAAATAGCCAAAGCAATCCTGAGAAGGAAAAATAAAGTGGGGGGGAGGGATCTTGTTCCCCAACTTCAAGCTCTAATACAAACCCACAGTAATCAAGGCAAATGGTATTGGCACAAGAACAGACCCACAGACTAGTGGAATAGAATAGACTCTAGACATTAACCCAAACATATATGGTCAATTGATATTCGATAAAGGAGCCATGGACATACAATGGGGAAATGACAGCCTCATCAACAGGTGGTATTGGCAAAACTGGACAGCTACATGTAAAAGAATGAAACTGGATCATTGTCTAACCCCATACACAAAAATAAATTTGAAATGGATCAAAGACCTGAATGTAAGTCATGAAACCATAAAATTATTAGAGAAAAACATAGGCAAAAATCTCTTGGACATAAACATAAAGAACTTCTTCAGGAAAATATCTCCCCAGGCAAGAGAAACAAAAGCAAAAATAAACAAGTGGGACTATATCAAGCTGAAAACCTTCTGTACTGCAAAGGACACAATCAACAGAACAAAAAGGCATCCTACAGTATGGGAGAATACATTCATAAATGACAGATCCGATAAAGGGTTGACATCCAAAATATATAAAAAGCCCATGCACCTCAACAAACAAAAAACAAAGAATCCAATTAAAAAATGGGCAGAGAGGCTGAACAGACAGTTCTCCAAAGAAGAAATTCAGTTGGCCAACAGACAAATGAAAAGATGCTCCACATTGCTAGTCATCAGAGAAATACAAATTAAAACCACAATGAGATATCACCTCACACCAGTAAGAAATGCCACCATCCAAAAGACAAACAACAACAAATGTTGGCGAGGTTGTGGAGAAAGGGGAACCCTCCTACACTGCTGGTGGGAATGTAAATTAGTTCAACCATTGTGGAAAGCAGTATGGAGGTTCCTCAAAAAGCTCAAAATAGAAATACCATTTGACCCAGGAATTCTAGGAATTTACCCTAAGAATACAGCTGCCCAGTTTGAAAAAGACAGATACACCCCTATGTTTATCATAGCACTATTTACAAGAGCCAAGAAATGGAAGCAACCTAAGTATCCATCAGTAGATGCATGGATAAAGAAGATGTGGTACATATACACAATGGAATATTATTCAGCCGTAAGAAGAAAACGAATCCTACCATTTGCAACAACATGGATGGAACTAGAGGGTATTACACTCAGTGAAATAAGTCAGGCAGAGAAAGACAAGTACCAAATGATTTCACTCATATGTGGAATATAAGAACAAAGAAAAAACTGAAGGAACAAAACAGCAGCAGAATCACAGAACCCAAGAATGGAGTAACAGTTACCAAAGGGAAAGGGACTGGGGAGGATGGTTGGGAAGGGAGGGATAAGGGGGGGAAAAAGGGGGCATTACGATTAGCATGTATAGTGTGGGGGGGTCACGGGGAGGGCAGTGCAACACAGAGAGGACAAGTAGTGACTCTACAGCATCTTACTAAGCTGATGGACAGTGACTGTAATGCAGTTTGTGGGGGGGACCTGGTGAAGTGGGAGCCTAGTAAACATAATGTTCCTCACATAATTGTAGATTAATGATATCAAAAAAAAGAAAATTAAAGAAAAAAAAACTGAAAGCTTAGCTATAAATTAACCAAAAGATAAAAATTCTCAAGTCAGGATTAACTATGAACCTGAGCCAATTAAAAATAAATTAGCATTTGAGGAAAACTATATCAAATGATACTAACTATACTTATTACTATAATTTCTTAAATTGAGCCATATGAGTGAAGGATAAGTAAAACTGGAAAACTGTTCCAGAAGGTGACTTGATTAGGGAAGTTAAAGAAGACAGAAGGTATTAGCAACCATTTTTTAAAAATGTCAATCAAAACATATACACATTGATATTCTTATCTCTATTCATAGTCTTCTACACGAACTCGTGACCCAGGCCTAATACTTGTTTCCTAGGGTACTATTTAAGCCATTTCAGCTGGCCTTTTAAGGCTGGCAGATGGCTTTCATTTCCACTCAAAGAATGTTTAGCTCTTGAAAGATGTCCAGGTGGAATCAGAATCATTTAAGCAAAACACTAGCTTACTTTTTTATTTGTTCTAATTTGTCTTCTTCTGCCTTAATATAGTCTTTCAGCGAAGTCACCAGATTTTTCTCTGTATGGATCAAGTCAGTCATCTGACCTAGAAGGATGAGAAGGGAAGAAAGTTATCAAATACCTGGTCTACACAAGTATTTAAGAATGATCAAGAATGCTTCATTCTATGAGAGGATTTAACTGGCATGAAACAGGTATGCTGAAGACATCATCTCCCCACTCCAACTTCACCCCCTTTTTTATTTACCAAATAAAACTAAAGCAAAACTCTTTTCTAATCACGTATTCCAATTCTAATTTTCAAGCTACTTAATTTTGCAAGCTTGAACCATATTAGCATCAGTCTTTTAATCTAAAAACATTTTTAAATTACAAAATAACACTACTGTTCAAAGATCAATGTTTCTTCTTCCCTACCTTCCTCCCCTTTACTCTTTTTGTTTTTGAGACTAATTAACTTTTTACTTAATAGACAAAAAACACACTAATGAAAATTCTACTTCACAACTGAAAATCAAATAATCCATACTTAGTTATTTATACTGGAATGAGAGGACTCATCATTTCATCCCCAAGTAAATTAGCTCTACAACCACACAAGGGCAAAAACTGAATAGGAAAACATCTAAGACAGATGAAATATGCATATAGGATAATATAAAAGGATACATACACATTAAACCATGAGGAATGTATCTTGGGGAAAGTGGATATGTGGTGGTCTTACATTCTATATATTTGTTTTTTCCTCCTTTAACCAAGTATTTTTGCAATACTTTTAAAGATTTCTAAAAAATTATAATGAAGGAAAAAAATAACTTGTGTTCATAGTAGATTCTTACATGGAAAAATGAGGTTATGAAATAACCTGTAGTATATTATTTGTGCCTCTGGGCATTCACAAAGACTATGCATTAAATTATTTGCTGTGTGGATCCATTAGCAGAATTTTCTTGGTATGCTTTTCTAAGTTTCTAATCTGGAAAGGTACTGCTTTTGTTCTCAGAAAAAATTAAAGAAAAATAAAATTGAATTTAAAAGAGTGACTTTTAGAGGGGCAGGGACTGGAACAATGCTTCAGCCTCTGGGAATACGACATTTATTTTTACTGATTAAAAAACACTATAAAAATGAGAAATTTTAAATGCAGAAACAATACAAACCAAAATAAAGTTAAGACTTACCAATTGAAGTAAAAAAGCCTGGATGGGCCAAAGACTGGGGAAGTAGAATCCCTACAACTAAAATATGCCAGATCATCTTGGAAGACATCATTTTCATAAGTTCACACACCTGCAAGAGAAATACAGCTATTACAAAAACAAAAAAAGAAGGGTAGGAAAAATTCCTAGCCTCTTTTTCCTATGAACAAAATGTAAGTTAGACCCCAAGTCTACTCATGTAACTGTTGTTAATTCTTGTAAATTGATCAATAGTTTAATATTAGCAATTTTTTTCATATATTAAAGTATAGCTTGGTATTTCATGTTAAAGAAAAACATATGTTTGTTATCACCTGGTAATTTATGTTTAAAAATGCAACCTTAGTTTTCTCCTTAGTTACTACAATTAGAGTAATTGGATAGTAGTACTTTCATATAGCCTGTAAAATAACTTTCCCTGGATGTAGATCTAAACCATGAATTTCTAATAAAAATATACCACTTTATTAAAGTTATTTGAATGTTACCAAAATACTTTCTAAAATGTTAGAATATGTTTTAAAGAGGAAAAAAGGTTCCAGATCTTTCTGATTAATCCTTTAAATTCCTAACTTATTCCATCTTTTCCCTATATTGCTTTAAATTTTAAAATAAGTTCAGTTAGAAGTTGTAGATTTGGGTGTGATACAATGTTCTAAAATTGTAGTGACTGATGGTTGAAGAACACTGTGAAAGTACTAAACACCACTAGATCATGAACATTTAATGGGTGAATTGTACGGTATCTGAATTACATCTCAATAAAGCTGTTTTCTTTTTAAAGTTGTACAGAATCCAAAAAGAATGAACAGCCTTGTTGATTTAAGCTGATCTCTCTCAAAAGACCCAGGATTGGTTTTTCTCTTATCTACTGTGTTCTATGTAAAAAAAAAATCCTCAGTTTACATTGCCATGATATTTCTTTTTAAGCCTGGCAGCAAAGCCCTTCTTTTTCCTTTGTCCCTGGTAGAATTGTCTTTTCTAGAAGTGATTCTTCATGGCTGATGTAAATATCAACTAATCAGCAGAAACATCAACTAACCAGCTGACTTCCCAAATGCCCTGCTAGCACTCTTGCTGTTTCTCCACCACATATGTGGACTTTTAAGTTCTTCTTATTACCTAACAGGAGAGGAAGTTACTATTACAGTACCCATGTACCTCTAACAGGCTCCCATTGGTTTCGCTACCTTGTCACCCAATTTCTTCTGGTATAGGCACCTCTGATTCTTCCCAGGGGACTTCACCTAAACCAACAGGTTCAAGTCATTCTGGAAAGCTCCCTATTCTGTAGGGTGGGGGGGGCGTACTTTCATCACCTAACTTCAATTTCAATAAAAACAGACCACCACAGAAACTTCTGGAAGTACTCCTAAGATTCCTCTCTCAAGTTTGTTGCAAACTTTCAGATACTTCCAGAACCACAGAGCAGTGAAATACACTGCTTTCCTGGCTGCTTTACAGTAACTCTTTGGAAAGGCTTCTAGAATGTAGCAGATGCAGACACTTCCTCTCCTGGGCTCCTGCCAAAGCACAGGGCTTTTGAAGCTTGAAGAGTCTAGAATCTTCTCCCTGTTAAATGGGTTTCTGCCATAATTTTCTTCATAAATGTCATTTGCAGAAAAAACAAATGGTTTTGCTGTATTAACAGAAGGCTAACCAGAAACATTGTCTAAATATTTAACTCTGATGAGAAAGCTTAGATTTCTAAGATAAAAGGTTATTTTTTCATTGCTAAAATATATTCTGTCAGTTTGTCACCTTTCATCATCTTTAAACCACACAATGAATCAAGAACCATTAGTCTATAGAAATTACTAAAAAGCTTGAAAACTGTATTTTAATAATGACAGAACTTACATAAAAACTCAAAACATTATCATATGAAGAATACACACACCTTTACCTTACATCATACTGCAAAATAAATTCTAGAGTTATAATCAATAAAAAACAACAAAAGCAAGTTACTGGATCTCTGAAAAGAATTTCTAAATTGAAAATGATAAAACAAATAACCTTCAAAGCCAGATGGAATTTAAACATACAAAATAATTTAGGTTTATATATGTTAAAAAAAAACTATAAACTTGGAAACTAAAAAAAGAGTTCAATTAAGGAACTCATACAAATCACTAAGGAAACCATTAAGGTGTTAATAAATGAGTTAAGAATGCACAAAGTCACAAAAGAGCTATAAATTGTTAAAACAAAAGGCTCACTCATTAGCAATTAAGAACACAAAAATAGAAGATAGCCATTTTTTTCCCATCAAATGAACAATGAACAATTAAAAATATTTAATAGTACTCTATATCAAGAAAATTAAAATGACCATATCCTTTAACTTGTGAATTTAAAAGAAAAACTATTTAAAAATTAATGTCTACCCTCATTCATTGTTGGTGGGAATGCAAAATGCTACAGCCATTTTGGAAGACAGTTTGGTGGTTTCCCAAAAAATTAAACATACCCTACCACTCTACCAAACGATCCAGCAATGGTACTCTTTGATATTTACCCAAGGAGATGAAAACTTCTGTCCACACAAAAAACTGCACATGGATAGTTACAGCAACTTTATTCATACTGGCCAAACTTGGAAACTTGGAAGCCACCAAGATATTCTTCAGTAGGTGAATGAATAAATAGATATATCCTGACAATGGAATATTATTCAGTGCTAAGAAGAACGAGCTATCAAGCCAAGAAAAGACATGGAGGAAATTTAAATCCATATTACTAAATGAAAGAAACCAATCTGAAAAGGCTACACACTGTATGATTCCAACTACATGACATTTTGGAAAAAGCAAACCTGTGAAGACAGGAAAAGATCACTGTTTTGGGGACAGGGTGGGGAGGGATGAATAGAGGAAGCAAAGAGGGTTTTCAGGGCCGTGAAAATACTCTGTATGATATCATAATGATGAACACGTGTCATTATATTTGTCCAAATCCCTAAAATATACAACACCATGAGTGAATGGGTAAAGTACACTATCGACTTCGGGCAATTATAATGTGTCAATACAGGTTCATCAATTGTAACAAAGGTACCACTCTGTTGGGAGATGTTGAAGCCATGAATGTGTAGGGGCAGTGAGTATATAGGAAATCTCTGTACTGTCCTCTGAATTTTGTTGTGAACCTAAAACTGCTCTAAAAAATACTCTTAAAAATTAATTAATATCATAGAACCCAGTGGAACCTGTATTAAATGAGATTAAGTTTCCACTACTCTGAAAGTTTTAAATACTGATCAAAATAGAGAAAAACATTAACATCATAACATGATACTATGTAAGAAAATATGCAGAGGAAATTCACCAAAATATATAGTTGTCTCTGGACAAAACACTATGTGATTTTTTTCTCTATCTCGGTATTTTCCAGATGTGCTAGGGTATATTTACTTTTATAGTGACAAAAAATTATACAAAAGAATAAACCTAAAACATCAACTCCTGTATTATCGTGCCCTGAGACTTAAATGAAGTGGTTAACTACTACTCTCTCACACAAAAATAACTAACAAATACTATACACATTTTACTATATTTATTTTCTAAATCTATAAGCCTCCAGATTTCTCTTTCTTTCAACGATATTTAAGCTTATTGAAAGCAACCAAGATATCTAGTAATGAACTACACTGTGTCAGAGTAGCACACTTTTTCTATTAGTCTTCCTCCCAGAGATTGACATATGACCCAGGCTAAGCCAGTCATTGACCCTTATTCCCATGAACATAATAGTTGAGGGGTGGGCTTGTAAAATGGTAAGAAGCAATAGTTTCTGGGGTGGTTAAAACTCTCATGTGAATTTGGAGCTGACCATCTTTCCCACTTGCCAAGTCCATAAACAAGACAAAGTCATGCAGAAACAAGCAGTTGTAAGCTCCGTAGCCTTAATTCTTTCAATTGTTGCTTTGAATCTGTGAGCTACCCCAATAATCTTCCTACCCAGCTATGGAGACCTGTAAATTCCCATTTTCTTTTAAGATAGTTCCAGTTAGATCTGTCACTTGCAAGAGAATGTTCAGACCCATACAAGCATTGCTCCAAACTACCATGCCAACCTAAGCTAGTTAATAAAAATGAAGATAGCCCTGTGGAGTAGTAGTGGTTCTCAAACTTTAACTGTATTAGAATCACCTAAAGGTTTGAGGTACTTAGACAATTTACACAAGTTCTCAAGTGATGCTGATGTTGGTCTGGGGGTCACACTTTGAGAACCACTGGATACAACCATCCCTTGAAATCACACAAAAGGTACTCTCTGCCTTTAAAATAGATTTTACTTCCATTTATTTTTGAAAAATATCACTGAATTTCTAATTACTCTAGAGAACGGTTCCTGTTTTAATAATGTCTTAACCATATATTTTAGGAACCTTAAGTGACACATTAATAGGCAAATATCTCTTTATCACAGATTTTTAAAACATAATGATTTTGTTTTAAACTCATGGTGTCTCACTTCCATTTTCCACCTTCATTCAGTTAGCAGCTTGAAAAGCAAATCACTATAAGCATCCCAAAAGAGCTTTATCAAAAATAGTAAGATATAAATACCTTCTGTTCTAAATCTTCAAACAAGCTTGAAAAATAAATGGGCTAAACACAAGCAGTCTCCTTCAAAAGAAAGGTTTATCTCAAATAGCTTCCTGAGAGGACTTGACTCAACAGCAAGGAAGGAAGGAAGACTAGAAGGAAGGAAAGAAACACGCAAGGATAAAGAGAAAAGAGGGAGAAGAAAAAAAAAGAAAGCCAAAGGGTCAAAGATAAAAAGATAAATTTATACTGAAATAAAGTTTAGTGATGGAACAGTATGGATAAATTACTGATAATACTTGGTTCTTGATAGGATGGTAGGTTATATAGATATTATAATGTTTGATATGTGTAAATATTATATTTTATAAAACTATAAGGAAAAAAACAGTATGGGAGAAATCTTCTTGGAAACATTCTCAGACTGGCCTGGATAAAAGTTGCAAAATGTACCACTTATCTAAAACTTTCCTACAGTCCTTCTTTCAGGGTTGTCCAGTCCCATCCATTCACACAGGTCAATAAATCTGGGAAC